ATTTTTCTTCTTTTTGCATATTTTCATATCTTTATTATTATTTAATTATTTATTTTATTTATTTGTTATTTATTTATAGCCCATTATTACCTACCGCTCTTTTTCGTTCTCTGATGCGTCCGTCTCCTCGCATTAATTTTTTCGTTACTTAATTTAATTAATATTTGTAGGAAGTTATCGATCAACAGAGTTCGATCGTTAATTTTCTCGATAGTGGTGGGTGATGGTCGTCGTCGTCGTCGTCGTCGTCGTCGTCGTCGTCGTCGTCGTCGTCGTCGTCGTCGTCGTCGTCGTCGTCGTCGTCGTCGTCGTCGTCGTCGTCGTCGTCGTCGTCGTCGTCGTCGTCGTCGTCGTCGTCGTCGTCGTCGTCGTCGTCGTCGTCGTCGTCGTCGTCGTCGTCGTCGTCGTCGTCGTCGTCGTCGTCGTCGTCGTCGTCGTCGTCGTCGTCGTCGTCGTCGTCGTCGTCGTCGTCGTCGTCGTCGTCGTCGTCGTCGTCGTCGTCGTCGTCGTCGTCGTCGTCGTCGTCGTCGTCGTCGTCGTCGTCGTCGTCGTCGTCGTCGTCGTCGTCGTCGTCGTCGTCGTCGTCGTCGTCGTCGTCGTCGTCGTCGTCGTCGTCGTCGTCGTCGTCGTCGTCGTCGTCGTCGTCGTCGTCGTCGTCGTCGTCGTCGTCGTCGTCGTCGTCGTCGTCGTCGTCGTCGTCGTCGTCGTCGTCGTCGTCGTCGTCGTCGTCGTCGTCGTCGTCGTCGTCGTCGTCGTCGTCGTCGTCGTCGTCGTCGTCGTCGTCGTCGTCGTGTTCGTCAGCCTGTAAAAACGACCGCCGGGGCAATTCCGACGCGCCGTAAATTCGTTGTATCTAATCCCCGTTCCTGTAAATCACTGGTGCAAAAAACCCTCGCTCTCGTGGCTCCCGCTCCCACCCCCTACCGCCGCCCGCCATGGGAGCGCGTTTCGCGTCGATAAAAACGACGAATTTTCAGGTGCAGATTACGGATACGCTTGAGGGGCATACGAGAATGGTTCCCACACGATCTTACAATAAAACGAGCCTCCCTACGCTCACGCTCCTCGTTCACGGATAGGCGCGTGAGGGCACGCACACACAGTGTCTGGAGCACTCGAGGAAGGAGCGGAGCCAGGATCCGGGGAGTGTGTGCGCGCACACGTTAAAGGAAAGGCGGTGGTACGCGATGCCGCTCACATCTATTTATCGCTCAACGCACTTGGGAAAATTCTAAAGGATGTGTGTGCCGTGTGTGAAATAAAGGTATTTCCGTCTTCGGTCGGAATTTCGTCTATTGTTACATATAGGAGGTGGCTGCCAGCCCCCACGGAAATACGCACCATGTGCGCCAGCGACGCCGTACTGATTGCCTTCGAGGATTCACCGATGGGAATTCACAAATAAAATAAAGAATTTATCTTTAATTACCTGCCTTTCTTCTTCTTCTTCTTCTTCTTCTTCTTCGTCTTCGTCTTCGTCTTCGTCTTCGTCTTAATATTATTATTATTACTTCCTTCTTCTCACATCTAGACCTTAAAATCCCTAGCCCGGTCTTTACTTTGTAATGTAATTTTAAGCCCTTCGTCGAAATCCCCTGATTTTTCTTCCCTTTATACTTTTTACTCTTTTGGCTTTTTATTTTTCTACCTTTTCTTCTTCTTATTTTTATATTTTTCCTTTTTCGAACGAGCCATGGAATGTCGGCAGATGGCGCCATGTTACCGATAAACCTCGATTCTCGGAGATTCAGCCATTCGCCCTAATGAATAATGCGTCGTTGAATATTAATTAATCAAGATTGGCTTCATCTTCCGTTTACCTTTATTGTTAAGTGACTCATAATAATTAGAAACTAAAGCTGACCACTGCAAATTAAATACAAATTAAAATGCAAATTACATCTTTAACGCTGAATAATGTAATGTTGTACGGGTGTAATGTGTAATAAGCGATTTCAAAACATATTTTCAAATTTAGATTTTTTTCCCCAAGTGAAATCCTATTTGCAGAAGAGTGCACGTACGTATGGATGCGCACGCAGCGGCACTTAGACGTAACGGGGTGAGAGAACGAGAGAACGAGAGAACGAGAGAGAGAGAGAGAGAGAGAGAGAGAGAGAGAAGGAGAGGATAAGCTTGTGTGTAACCAAGAGTATATCCCCGTAGCAATATACGTGTTTGTTCACATAATGAATATTCATATGATACGCGAGTAACTTTCATGACGACGCGCCATTCGAATCCTACAAATTAATAATCACACTACGTGATTCAGTTTCGGCGCAAGCTTAAACTTTTCGCTCAAATAGCTAATACGTTGAAAGAATTTTTACACGAAGGTTCGCTCACTTTACAGTGGCAAATACCTTTTGAATTAAGATTTTCTACTTCGTCTATTGTTCACGTATTCGGAAATATCAATCGATTGATTGTATTTCATAGAACTTTCTCCAGTCTTCTAGGACCTTCAAACATTCATGAGGCAAAAGCCGTAAAGTGTATTATATATTAATAAGTTAATCAACGGTCGGGGATGCGTTAAATAATAGCACGCATTCAGAAATTACGTTTTTTACTGCAATTAAAATATTTTAATCATTAATACGTACTTTCTATTTAATTAATAACAAAATAAGAGCACTTAATTTATCGAATCTTGGTGTTAAAACATAAAATAACGTCTTAAATATATTAAATGTGATTGAATTGAAACGAATTGTTAGATAGAATGATTTTTTTGACACTACCATGAAAATTTTATCGAAATATTTAGGTTTAATGTGCAGACGAATTTTTATGCGAATCCGCTCCATTAGTAAAACGATGATTCTATAATAGTAGGTACGATGATACAGGCAATGATGAAATTTTTTCAAGCTGAAATTCCCGAGTCAACTTTACCTCAGCGACCATATTTTCATTTTAATAAAGAAAGAATATTTATTTCGAATATTATTGAGAATTTCTAATACTGGTTATACTCTTGTCAAATCCGATCAAATTAAAATTGACATTGATTTCAAATGGGAACGATGAAACATCAAATGCCATTGATAATGTAATGTCGTTCTGTATATATTAAGTAAAATTAGACTTCTCTAATTATCCCGTTAAACTTGTATTGAAAAGAAGAAGAAGAAGAAGAAGAAAAAAAAGAACAAAGAATGGAAAATTAGTAATAATAAAGTAGATGCAAAGGTAAATAAAAATACGAAAAGATACGGAAGGAGGAGAGAGCCAAAATGGTAATGAAAGTATTAAATAATATATACAGAAGATCAGACAAAATTTTAAGACTATCTGATATCTAGTAATCCTTATCTACGAATCACTTAGTAAAAATATAACAGAATTTATGACAATTAGAAGCAATTTGTATCGTTACTCTGGATATTCAACATTTTTTTTCTTCAAAGGTTAATTAAAATTAAAAATTTTTTTCTTTTTTTTTTTTTTTCATTCCGCAACATGTAACACTAGATAGATTTTTAAAAATTACATCAACATTACCTTTATTTTGTTATATTTCTTAATTAATGTTTGAGTGAAATGAAATCCTTGAAGCATGAAAAATCTTGTTAAACAAAATACTTTTTTTAAGTACTCTTTTCATATTTTCAGTTTTATATTAAAAATTAGTAGATAATAACAAAGCGTAGGAACCGTTTATCTAACTATTTGGTAAGAATGTAACTCAGTTTGTAATCTACGAAGATAGTTATAATTATAAAAAAAAAATTGACTGAATTATTTTCTTATTGTAATTTTATTTCCGATGTTATCATTTTACCTTTAATAAATTAGTGTAATCGACTAATGGATAATAAAAATGTTCATACTTACTATATTACAGGAAACAGACGAGTTATTCATTAATTTGTTTATGCGACTGGGTCAATCGATTGAAAGAATATTACGACAAGTAATTGGAATTGATAACTTAAGAATACAGAGTATTAATGGAGATAGAATACGATAAAAGAAGCAAGATGGTGATAAAATGAATTTGACAGTCTTGGCGATTGCGACATATAATCTTGACAATGAGATGGAAAATATTCTGCTTCTAATTCTGCTTATCGTAACCGTAGAGGCCGGATATAAGTTGTCCGTTACCATGGGCATTACAATGCCTTTAGGCGATAAGTTATAAAATGTACCTCTGCAAACTATCTATAAAAAAACCACTATGCTCAAAACATTTTATTACGGAATCTATGAATATCTATTCTGGTCGAACCTTCGTTTCTGATATCTGACTCTTGCACTGGATGAACTTTGACTAGACTTCATTGAGAATGCATCGTCGCACGAGTCAACGCAGGAACAAGCATTACCTGCAGAAATTGATATTCGGACGATAAATACTTTCCAAATGGGATAAATTGATTAATCATTGATTTTTGTTTTTCTACATAATATACAAGACAGATGGTGTGTGGTGACGTATAACTGAAAAATGTTATTATGTTTTATGGGATGCACGGATAAATGTGTACGATCGAAGGTTAACCTATTTAATACACATTTCTTTACGATCGCGAACATTTAATTGTAATTAAATTTGTTGAATTATCATCAAATTCGGCTAATGGGATAAGATCGTGTCAATTGTAATTAATTCGAATGTTTTCGTTCCTTGAATCTCGGGATGCTTCCCATGAAAACAGCAACCATGATCCGATATGCCAAACTCCTTCCACTCGAACGAAAAATGATGAAAGCCCAACGACTCAACGAAATTGATGTATAAATCACGTAGGCGATTATGCATCCTCAAAAAACCTACGGCAAATATTTTTAAATCTTAATCTTTAGTCGGTGTAAAGCGCATTGATCAAGCAGCAGTGATTTTGACGTCGTGTCGTCATAGTCGGATTAATTGCTTAACCTACTCTCGCTTGCGATACAGCAACACTTCACACGTGTACGCGAGCTAGAATACAAACCGTTGAGGAGCGCACCCTAGCGGGCTGTCGGCCAAGCACGTTATGCAACCGCTTAAATTGCAATGGTAATGGTAGTGGTGAGTGTCAATCAGTATTATGGGTAATAGCTGGTGGGACATCTCGTAGATTCGTAGATTGTCGTCGAGCAAAATTTGTATGAATCTCAAGGATTTTAAATCAAGTCTTTTAAAGGAAAGAACTTAAAAATAAAAAAGAATGGCAAGTAAAGGCTGGAAGGTAGATATTTTTCTACAATTTCATTTGTATGATGTACGGCGAATGGTGGGAGCAGTCTCCGATCGAATTACATCTAATCGAGAACAATCAAGTTTTGCTTTAAATTCAATTTCTAGGTCGTTCAGGCGCACGTTCCTATGATTAGATTTCGGAAAGGCGTTAATAATAGAGGTAATGTCGCTTGCCATCACGGCCATTAATGTCATATCCTCGCTTAAAATCCATTTAGCGCTAAACTCGATTCTTTTGTTGGTTAGTTGCGGCAGTAGTAGCGAAGTCAGCGCCATCTGGTTCAGGAGGGGTATCAGCTAATAAGCCGGAGGGTGCAACTGGACCAAACGTCGTCGTGTTACCGATTATTGATGACTTTCAACTGCCCGTGAGGTTCCAAAGGCGACCCATCGATACGAATGAGATCGAGTACATTAATGTTAGTCTCTTGTTTACCTTGATTCATTCGAATCGTCGCGTGCACACGCTACTTTCCTTTAATATCTATTAATCCTTTATTATCGCCGATTGACTCTCGCCAATTACGTAACAGCGAAATAATTAATGTCATTTAAAGATAATTTTTCTCTTCTTCGTTTTAGCGTGGTGGGCCGGAGTAAGTGGATAGTCATGCGCTGATAACAGCCGTAAACAATGCTTAGATTGCTGTAAACGCATATGTATGTATATATTTATTAAATAATTGCTCTATCTATCTATATATATATATATATACATATATATATATATATATATATATATAGTAAATTGGAGTTTGGTCATTTAGCCGAATTATTGTATAAATTCGACGTTAAGAATACAATAAAATGATATAGCATTAAAGTGAAAGTGCCTCGTTATTTCTTGTTGTTGTATAATAAGGTTTACCTTATTATAGCCATCTCGTATCTCGTTCCTGAGCGATTTTGGCCGTTCCCAGCTACGACTCCGCTTTATCGCGCCTTATTGCGAATTTCACGCGTAAACCGCACATTTGACATTGCGTGCGGGTCTACCGTATTTTTAGATCGACCTTTTCCAATATCCGTAAATATATATTAGAAACGAGCGAGCTTAAAAATAGCTACCGACGATTCTCGGTACTCTTGTGTGCTCTAGGGGTGGGTAGATGGGCGGGCGGAATATTTTCACAGATCCGGGCTTCTCCTTATCCCCGAGAGAGTCGTCTCGTGATAAAGTCGGGGGCGCTCCTTCCAAACGAGTTCAAAAGCTCGATCAGTCCGTAATATAGGATTGGGTGAAGGCGTGTACGCAACCGCGCACCGTCGCGGCCGCGCAGAGCCCGAGCCTGGAGAAGAAGGAGAAACTCGACACGACATCGTACTCCTCTTCACCCGAGACGCTACTCCGTCACAATTACAACTACAACTACAGCTATAGCTAAAGTTACAGCTACAGCTACAGCCGCAGCGGCAGTAACAACAACAACAATAACAGCAGCAGCAGCAGCAGCAGCAGTAGCGCAGTTCCGATCTTGCGCCGTCGCTGTCATTGCCACCGCTCACACCAGTTATACATTAATACGACGTTGTTTCTCGAGGCGGAGACGGGTGCAACCCTCGTCACTGATGTGCCACTCGAGTTCCTTTCAGCCTTACTCGATGGGACTGGGGAAGCCCTGACGATTTATCGTCTAATCGATATAACCCCAACGACACGAACGCCCAGGCATTAGCGCGAACGCAACGACTTTGCGTTGAAAGCGACGGGCGAAGAGGAAGAAGAAGAAGAAGAAGAGGACAAAAGGTGCGTAAGATTGATAAGGGTAGGCCAGTGCAAAGAGGCTAACAACATGACGGACATCACTACGGAATTCGGCCCTCGCAAGACCGTCTTGATACTCGCGATTGTCGCTGGATGCTTTGCTATGCTGTGGCCCAAGATTTTTTATCCCATGTTAAGGGCATCCGTCGTTCCACCGCACTCGACGGCCGACAGTTCCGGTAAGTCTTTTGTTTCGCAATACTTATGGACTTTGGCGGGGGATTGGGATGATCGTGCGATCGCCTTTCAAATATCCTTTCGTCCTCTCACTCGACCCTTCAACATGCCACGGCATTAAAAGAAACAGAAACACGCTGTCATTGTATTAAAATGTATATATTAAATGATATATAATTTCATCTTTAATTTGTAATGTTGATTAGGCTGTTGCGATGTGATATTTGAAAACGATGTGACCGCCATTGACATAATGCAAGAACTGTGTCATAATATTATAAAGCACCATGACCATGTCGATCCAAGGGTAAGGGATGCTCTTTACGTAAGCAAATTTAAAAAATTGACACCTTCCAACATGAGATTATGCAAGGAAGAAGTACTCGCTAAATGTGGCATAAATTTGTCCTCTTATTCGGCCGAAAAGGAACAGTTAGAGAAGTTCTACAAGCAAATTTTAGAAGAAATAAGAGGATCTAATCGTTCGTTGTGTATAGAGTCTGAATTTGGAGTGCCGTTGTCTAGGCTAGGGATGCCCCATCTTAATAGATATCATATCTTAATGCCGCACAGTAAGACATCTTTTGGACTCGCTGGCATCGATGTATTAACAAATTTCACTAATGCTATTTCCGCTCTTCTGGTTCGCATAATTAATGCTTGACTAATACTCATCTTTTGACTAATTGTCTGACTAAATACGGTAAACCGACCCAGCAGGCTTCGTAGTCACATAAAATTTATAATTATGTATAATCACGAAACCGCTCGTGTCGTCTAATCTCCCTAAATACAAATACAATTGCGACTTTAAGCATTATATTATATGATTTTCAATTAATTAAACGTGTGTGTTTGTGTGTGAGTGAGTAAGAAGTAAAACGTAGCGTACCTTTTGGCGAATCGCCAAGTTGAAAACACAGAGCAGTTGGCAAACGCAAGATTTAAAAGCACCGTCATAATTTGAAATACATATTTTATTGCTGTTAGAGTGAAGTGACTAGCGAGCTAACAGTTTTTTTCTTCTTCTCTAAATAAGCTAAAAATATATTAACTCTTGGTGATCTTACACCACTGCTTTAGAGTATGATTAAAAATATTATGCACCCAAGGTCAAAGGCTAATGTTTTTATTTATTTTAAAACAGATAATATAAAGCAGGAACGTCAGACGCCGCCCCACGCTGGAAGCTATCATCCTGCACTTAGGGAGCGAGGTAGAGCCATTCCATCGTCTCACATTGTGCCAAGAATTCAAGACAGATCCGATCACTTGGCGCCCATGAAAATGAGACCGCCTCTAGGAGGTGCGGGTCACGTGGTTGCAGCACCCAAGGGAAATGGTTCCTTAGGACTTCTTATGCCATTATATACAATTGGGATTGTAATCTTTTTTCTCTATACAATGTCGAAGGTACTTATGGGAATCGTCGTACCACTTTATACTATTGGAAATGTTCTATCTTTGCTCTATAAAATTTTCCAGGTATTTATTTACTTTCTACTTGTTTAGTTTGACCCGTTATTCTTAACTTCCTTTCTCTTAATTTTCTAACTGAAATCATAACGCAAGTGTATAAAGTGTATATTTAACATACGTATTGATTATTAGGTATTAAGAAAGTCCACGGACAATGAAATAATAAGTTCAGAATATTCGACCACTGATGCTGAAAGAGAATATCAAAAATTAGTCTTCAATCCGGATGTATTTGCCGCAGCCGTAACCGCGGTAAATGGAACCCAAGACGAACAGGAAGAAACGTACACCTCGTCATCGACATCGACGGATCCGCCTCCAGTAATTGACGAATTGCAAGAACGTAAGTCAACTTCTGCTCCCTTTTATCGCAAAGAGCATTGAGATCAAGTTTGATGGGAAAATGATATTATTTTTCAATTATTATAATACAAATAACGACTGTAAATCGTAAATCGATTTCTAAATTGCACATGCTGCTGGAACACAAGAAGTGGCAGGGGATATTGAGATAGATCAACTGAGACGACGTTTGGTAGAAACGGAAGCAGCTATGGAAAGAATCGTTGTTCAAATAAGCAACTTATCGCGTTCTGTTATGCATTGTTCAACTCCTCCATCAGAAACGAAGGTTTAGATGAAAGTTTATGAAGCGAATAATTATTATTTATGTTTCAAATTTTTTAATTACCGTAACTCGTAAAATTGCACGTTCTTTTCTTTTTTTTTTTTGCGCACGTCTCAAGCTTTCCTCAGCATTCATACAAATATGAGAATTAGATTGTTTTTTTGTTTTTTACTTTAATTTATTAATGTACAAATTTTATAGATACATTCATTTATTATACGTCTAGTTTCATTAATATAGGCAGTCTAGAAGTTTAATAAAAATTATTATTACACGTTACACATGTTCTTTGCTTTTATTTACTATGCGTTGACTACTGGGGGATTAATAATTATTAGTTGTTAGTCGTTGAATTGTACGATTCTAATTATTAGAGAGAGCAGATGGGTCTGTGCAAATTGTAAACTAGTTGTTGACTATACCATTTAAATTGGTAATATTGGCAATTGAAACTGTATAGATTTTACACACTATAATTTCGTATTTTTTTCAACAAGTAGATCAAGCACGCAAGTCTATTGGTCTGGCAGCTGGGGTCAACCCCATTCTAAAGGTATTTTCCTAAATGCTAGAGAGTGTTGCTCTCTTTTCTGGAAAATAACCAGTAGTGGTTGCCGCTTTTAGCTAAGAAATTGTTTGTTCTTGTCTTTCGCAAATAATAGAAAAAATGATGTGCATTATTGTTTAATAATTGTTGAGATAAGAAATATTTATATATGTTTGACGATTGAATATTGTTTTTATCTTTCTATTCTTCCTACATTATTTATGTATTGCCTACAAGAGTTTTTAGCTTTTATCTAATGTAGCATGCTAATGCTAGGCGTGAGACAAAATCATTTTATGTCCGTCTTAAAGTCTAAATGAACAATAATAATAATAATAGCCCTATAAATGACAGGAGCCGAATTTACTTGAAAAACCATGCAGTCAAGATGAAAAGGATTGCGAGGACTCTCATGAATTATCATCGACGATCAAAGTTGTTAATATGGAAATGACTACATCGTGCGAAGGTGGAGTTAAATGCAGTAGACCGAGCACACCGATTATAATGCCACATGGGTAATTGTTATTTTTATAAATATATATAGGTAGATGGATGGATAGATAGATGGATTGATCATTCGTCTACAATATCGCTTGAATTTATAGTAATGCTGCAGAGGAGAAAGAAAAAACACCACCGATTTCAATTTATTTGGAAGGTGCACTTCCTCCACAATGTGACCTACTCGTAACAGACTCGAAAATACAGGAGATACAAGAGCAAGAAAATGTGGAAGTTCCGATCGTTCTTTCCGGCAAAATGACACTATCTCTCATCAACCTTGACCAGGTAGCAGCTGTAAGAAAATATTAAAATAACCAACAGAATCAAATGAAACTACGGAATCTTTTTTTATTTGGTGATTCTTTTATTTATTTAATTTCGTCAGCTTTGCATTCATACAACCCCTTAACAAATGAAGTAATCTTTGTTAAGTCACTGACTTTTTTTTTTTTTTTTTTTTTTACTAATTATGTAATAATACTGAACGTTACAATACAGTATGTAGCCTCTAATATTATTGTTAATTATTTTTGGAGTAATTCTTTTGTCATTCTTTTGCTTTTTCATTTTTATTTGATCTGTTCATTTGAAATGTTGTTTTTGTAATATGTGTTAGTAATGTTATTTATTATATAAGTATAGTATATAATTTGTCTTGAATTTGTAAACAGGAATCCCAGGAAAATAATCTACTTGAATCCACGATCGCAAGTGAAACAGAAAATAATGAGAAAATTTTTTTAAGCGAGTATAAAGGAAGCGAAACAGAAATTATTAATGAAAACTTAATCAATGAAAGAATAAACATAATTACAATGGAAAAGCTAAAGGGAGGAGAAGAAACAGAAGAAATTTATGAAAGGAGTAGCAAAGAGGATGATGTTGAAAGTGATAAAAACATAGATGACAGATATAAGAATATTAATAAAATTAATAATGACAAATCATTAAGTGGGAAACGTAAAAATTTGGAATCTTTACAAGAAAAACATAATAACAAGTTCAATGAAAGTATTACACGCGATACGGATAATGTTGTCAACGATAATAATGTAGATAATATAAATGATAAAAATGATGCAGATGGTGACAGTAAAGTTCATGATAACGTTTACAGTGTTCACGATAATAGCAATAATAATAAACTATCTCTTAATGTAGAGGGAATGGGGGAGGAAGTCGAGGAGGAAGATGAGAACGAATATGAATTAGAATATAAAAATCAAAAAGACAGAGGGAACGAACATAACGAAGAAGGTGAAAAAGAATATGAAAAGGAAAGTAAAGGCGAGAAAGAAGAAATTGTAAATGATTCTGAAGACGAAATTGAGGAATATGAGGAAGAAAGTAACGACGAAGAAAAAGAAATTCAAGATGAAGTTGAAATCGAGAATTATGAAGATGATGAAGAGGAAGATGAAGAAGAAATTGAAGAATATGAGGATGAGGAAGTAAATGAAGAAGAGGAAGAAAGTGAAGGAGAGGAAGAAGAAAAAGACGAGGATGAAGGAAAGGAAGGAAATATGAGTAAAATAAAATATAATGAAATACAAATAAAAAAAAAAGAATGAAAATTTTCAAACCAATAATCGACGAAAATAAAAAATAGAGTATTCACATTTAGTTAAATTGTAAAGGATTAAAATTTATATACAAAATTATTATAAAAAAGATTTACGGTCATCTTTTACAAATGACTTAAATAAAAATAAACAAGATAATATTCTTGCATTTTTAAAAATAGTTGCAAATGGTTTTTAACTTCTTTATCATGTATTTGCTAAATGTATACATGATGTTGGGAAATAAGTAGTTAATTTTTTTATAATAGATATATACCAGCAAAGTTATAGATCTATAAAATTTCATACAGATTTTATTCATCTAACAATTGTATTACTCCTGTAACTTATAATATAAAATATATAAATATCTTCAGAGATTTAATTTTTATGTTTTTATTATTAATCACATAATTATATTGAAAATTATTAATTAACCTACATTCTTATGCGTTTTAAATTTAATTATGTACGTATGGGTAGACCGTTATATATGTATTTTTTTTTTTTTTTTTTTTTTTTTTTTTTTTTTTGGAAATTCAAAGTATTTTAACATAATAACAAAATATTTCAGCCATTTCTTATAATTATTTATTAATATTAGTTAAATTGAAAACAATAATGATTTTTATTTATTAATTTTTTTTTGTTACTTATTTATATTACTATATTTTTAAATTTTGATTTTTAATAAAATTTGTAATGGTGCCTGGAGTTGCACTGAAATTGAATTTAAATTCATGAAAATGGCGCGAATATCGTGGAATTCCGCATTCGATCCTTTTTCCGGTTGTGATTAACCTGAGATCAACGTAATCATGAAGGCTAAGGGAGAAGTAAGCTAAATTTTATATATCTTTAGTATAATAATTATATTATAAAGTCTAAATACTTATTTATATGTTTATTCTCGATTGTTTTTACCAAAAATTATGTCTGTTTTGATATTTTTTCTATCTAATTTTTTAACATTTTTGTAACCCCGTGTAGTATGGTTATTACCACATGTGTTACCTTTTGTATTTAATAATAATATCACAGCTTGAATATAATACATTGATTAGATTATTCGTTATCGCGTTGAATGTCAATTATGAGAGTGTAAAATTTTTTAAATTGGCATTATTTTATAAATTAAGCGTAAAAAAATGATAAATAAATCCTTAACCTCAATTGTCATGTATTAAAGATTATTTGAGCATTAGATTAAGAACGAATATGCGTGGAATTGAAATTTTTAACAAGTAAATCAATTTCTGAATAATAGATTGTATATGAATTTATATTGTATTAATTATTTAATTATTTGTTATAGTTAAAAGAATATGAGGTGATTGGCCGTAAATTGCCTACAGGAAAGGAGAAAACTACTCCTCTGTATAAAATGAGAATATTTGCACCGGATGCAATTGTTGCCAAGTCGAGATTTTGGTATTTCTTACGTCAGCTTAAGAAATTTAAGAAATCAACCGGTGAAATTGTCTCTTTAAAACAGGTAATGTCCAGTCCATCGATTGATACGCTAATTTTAAAATTGTAGTACGTACTTTTTCACCATCGATACAACTTTCTATTAATTTGGCAGATTCCAGAAAAGACGCCTGTTAAAATAAAGAACTTTGGTATCTGGTTAAGATACGATTCTAGATCGGGAACGCATAACATGTACCGCGAATACAGAGATTTATCCGTAAGTGGCGCAGTTACACAGTGTTACAGGGATATGGGTGCTCGCCATCGTGCAAGAGCACACTCGATACAAATAATAAAGGTAGAGGTGGTTAAAGCTGCTAATTGCCGAAGACCGCAGGTCAAACAATTTCATGATTCTAAGATACGGTTCCCGCTTCCAAAACGAATTCAGCACAGAAACCGTATGCCCTTGTTCAGTGTTCGCAAACCAAGAACGTATTTCCTTTAAGTTTTCACATTAATTTTATATTATTGTAATATTTTGTCACAAGGAAATAAAAATACAATATTAAAGAAAATTTGTTTACATTTCAGTTATTTACAAAATTTAAGTCACCCTCTTTTTCAATAGTGTTTCTACGAAGTAATTATAAGTTTCAGTCTTGGAGAATATTGACACTTTCTTTGCAATTGCTCTTGAGACACTTTAAATTTTAAACCAATTTTTCTAAACTCGTTGCACCGATTAATTATTCTTTCACGATTAAAGCCACTTACGATTGTTATTGTAAAAAAATAATGTGCCGATATATGTAATCATATAAAATGAAAAATGACTGGAACATTTCGACAACTAACGATTACTAGTTTCCTTGCTCGAAATTAGTTTAACTTTGAATTTGTAAATTTCATGAAAATTTAATTACTCTAATATTAAAAAAAAAAAAAAAAAAAAAAAAAAAAAAAAAAAAACAAGAATATTAACGTTTACAATTGAAGATGGATGGCAAGAAATTCTTTATATCAAATGAAAAATAACGATATATCGAATGTAAAATGATCTTTTAATAATAAAATGTAGTGTAGTCAATCTGTCGATAGTAAATGATCAAAAATATTATGAATTATTAATTTGCAATGATAGGTATTTATCATTAATTTTGTTAAAGACGATGATGTATTCGCATTTGTAAATTTCAACTGGAAAGAGTTTTAATGAAGGAAAGTATCGGTCTTCCATTATCATTTTTTATTAATTAAATCGATCCGCATTAATAATTGCCTTCTTTCCTCGGCTTCTGTAGAGTAATTCGATTATCAGGATAAATAAGTCACTAGAGTTTTAGCTTAAAAATGTAAAGCGTTTTTATTAATAATATTGCTCTAATAATGTTTGAACTTTCGTTGTATTTAATACAATTATTTATTTAATACTTAATTCCAGGTACTTTTTTCTTTTAAAGAGAGAATAATTATCTTTGTCGTTATAAATATTTAATTTTTAAAAATTGCATTCCATTAATAATTCTCATTTTTTCCTATTTTTCTAATAACAATGTTACAAGTCATCACCACACTTGGTAAAATTTTTATTTTAATTATCAATTTTCATAGTACTATATGATTTATAGTATACTTGTATGCGAGATGAAATGAGAATTTTGTCAAATACCAATTACTTATAGCGGACTATAACTATAATTTAGATACAATAAGAATAGAAAGGATCCAATGTTTTCAAACTAATGGTTTGTAGATTGCAATCTAAATGCCATTTCAATTAAATTTTGCGGCGCACAGTCTTGATAACATATGTACAACTCTTTAGGCCTTGGAGAATTATATAATCTTCCGACTATCCAGTATGTACAGTTTTCCCACTCCAATAAAATACCATGTTCCTTAATTGCAATTAAACTTTTGTTTATCACAGATTTTCCGGCATCGTGAGTCAACAATTTTTTATACCTCTTTGTGTCGCTCAATAGTTTGTGAATCATTTGAGCGCAGCCGTTCAAATTCGACAGAAATTCGCTGTCTAATTCATTGACTCTCGATGATATTAAAACACCTTCGAACAAATCTATATGCACGTAGTAAACTAAAGAATTTTTATTACCAGTTGTAACAATTTTAGGTACAATGTATTCCGCTTGATGTAACAAATTTTCTCGTATATTGCTGATTTCGGATATTCCTGTTTGATCATTCTGAATATTATGTTAATTATATTAGTGCATTATATAAGGCAAGCGTAGGTTATATTAATTATAAGGATACTCACATCCAAATCGGAATCACTGTCATCGGAATATCTTGTTAACAAAGCATTGCTTCTCTCTCTAGTAGCTCTTCTACCCAATATTGGCGCAGCCTGATCGCTCATTTCACTGACTTGACTGAGGGAATCTTGACTCGGTGAATCTCGAGACGCTTCAAGAGAATACCCTAAAATTATTGCATTATTGCAAATAATAATATTATAAGATTAGGGGCAACAACAACAACAACAACAACAACAACGACGACGACGACGACGACGACGACGACGACGACAGTAGTAGTAGTAGTAGTAGTAGTAGTAGTAGTAGTAGTAGTAGTAGTAGTAGTAGTAGTAGTAGTGTAGTAGTAGTAGTGGTAGTAGTGGTAGTAGTAGCAATAGCAGTAAACGTCATTGTCATTGTCATTGTCATTACCATTACCATTACCATTATCATCGTCATAATCATCGTTAAAACTTATTTAACAATTATTAATAAAGATTGTTCGCTATACCAGCATTAAAGTCAACTCGAGACTCTTCGGAGACTCTGCTTTTTGTCATACTTATATTGTCGTAAGGCACTTTAGTCACATTGTGATTTAAGCTGCTTATAGATTTTGATTGATTTGTCTTCATAAAGCCTACAATATTTTCTGCGATGCTTGGCGAAGAAAGTTTCGATAGCGTCGTTTCCTTCTGTGGTACAATAATCTCTGGTTTGGCATTAGCATTAATCCATTTCTCAGCCAATGCCGAGATACCGATTTTTCTAATATGTTTGAGAGTTTCCTGAGCCTCTTCGACGTAAAATATATCCGGTCCAGAATGTTCCTCCAATCTGTTAAGATGTATTTAATAAATCTTATTTTGTTGCTCTCATTTGTACAGTCCTGTTAAATTTGTAATGTTACATTGAGTCTTACATGGCCGTGCAACCTCCTGATTCCAGTATAACAGCAAGTAAATTGTGGCCATAACCAACGATAAGTAAAAACCATCGATATGTCAACGAATAAGCACTTTCATCTTGCCACTGCAATTTTCTATTCACGGACGACGAAGGATATACCTTATTCCAAATAACGAGAGATTTAACGTCCTCGCTGTTGATAAGATGTAATATACCATGTCGTCGTAAAAATGAGTGAATTTGTATTAAATCCTCAGCGGGTAAGTGAGATCCTAGTAAATGCCTTCTGTGATACAAACAACTTCCTATAATTGTGTATAATCGTTGACATTCCATGGGATCTTGATTCTATGGATAAATCGACAAGCCAATCGATGGCAGAAAATTTAATACAACTGCAAAATGATGATTAATCGATAATGTTAATGAACAATAATAATACGTACCCAATCCCTATAATCCATTGCCTCCATTTCACTCAATGCTGCATCAATTTGTATTTGAGCATCTCGCGGTAATTGCACCAAGTTAACAATTGGCAGTAAAAAACTAAAATCGTATTTACTTAAATCGTCGATATTTACATTGGTTTTTAAATTTTCCGAATTAGCTTTACTCGCTACTACCTTATCTTTGTATAGACGAGAGAAAAAAAGATAAAAAAAGTGATCTAAATGCAAATGATTCTCTTCTTTTTCAAAGCATGTTAATATGCTTTCGTTCATAAAGGATAAAGTGCATACGATATCCATTGAATGTTCCATAGCTTCTTGTTTATTGCAGCTGTAAATAATAAATCAATTAAACGATTAGTTGCCGATGCCGAAGTTTTATTACGACTAATGATAGACTATTATTATTAAACATTTTATATTGGCATTTACCATTTATCTGGCACAGCGATCAATAATAGTTCATCCTTGTAGGAAAAATAAATGATATGCGTTAATCCAGTTGAAGTTGAAACGGTTGTACTAAGACAATAATAATTTGTACAAAATGTAAAAGATTTCTATTTTATTTAAAGCTCTGCTTATGTTTTTCAACATAAAATTACCTAATCGGTTGAGCTCCAACGATATCGGGCAACATGTGATTTAATGTAATAAATGCTCCCTTTGTAATTGATAAAAAAGATTGAGTACTTTTAGTTTTTGTTCTGGGAAATGAATATAGCACACCCTGCATATCCGATTCACCCTCTGAAAATTCCTTTGTTTTTATAAAAATTACACCCAACGATTCCTTAATCAAAGACTCCATTAGGATTGTGCTTTCTTCTTTATCAGTTAATTGCCGTGCTAATACCGATTGCTAAAATTAAAATAACATTATCTTACTTTAGCAATAATATCGTTGGAATGTATTTAGATAAACAAAAAGTTAATAACAAATTGCAGTAATTAATAATAACACTTTTATTTTTACATATCAAATGAAATTTTTTTAAGCAAAAAATTAATATGAAAAAAATTTTTTTACCATATAATTCTTTTGTATAGATTTTGCTCAAATACTATACTACGATAATAAGTAAAATAAAATTATAATTCTTCTTTTATTAAAAAAATCTTTGTTCTCACGGCATATTTGTGCATTTTACAATAAATCTTATACTATTATTAAATTTATTCTACAAAGATTATTGGACCATGATTTTATCGATATTTTGATATTTATTATTAATTAATTAAGAATGCGCTTCTTAAATGTTGAAACTTATTTACTCGATCAAGCGCTACATGACTGTGGTGAAAATAAAAAAAAGTTACAATGGAATTTGCATTACGAACTTACGTTCGGACAACTCATTGTCGCTGGATAATTCTCATAGTTGCCATCGAGGCACGTTCTTTGAAATTGGCAATGAATCTGAAATAATATTAAATTTTAGTCCCAATTATTCTTCGTCTTAATGATTATTTGCCTATTTAAATGTCTTACGTTTGTAGGAGAAACAATTCTCGAAAGTATAGTGTTGATAGTGTACTTATTAACATCTTTTGAATTAATCGATTGCAACCAATCTCCGACGTTAATTTCCTTAGTCTTTAAAGCCTCGCCATCGGGAACGAATCCTGCAACTATGATTTTGGACTTGTCCGATGCGACACATGGAATTATACCCAAGTAAGCCTCGCAAGCCGTCGCACGTCTTCCAAGCTTATGCCGCTTCTCTGGTTCGACCCAAATATTTACAGAATATTTTTCTCCCATCTTATAATCGTCTCTAATAAAATTCTCTCTTTCTCTGTGCATTTTGCTAATTGATTCATGATTTTGTCTGAGTTCAGAAGCGAGGCCGCTCATTCTCACGCTATGTCTGTAACTCTCTCTACGCTTTAATAAACGAATTAATTTTCCTGCTCTTGTACTACGACGACGAGTTAATTCTGGTGGAGATGATGCGTAGTGATTATCTTCCCTAGCTTTATTACTATTAAGGGCAGCAAAGGATTCCATTAATGATTCGATGTAAAAGACTTCTCCGGTAGGACTTATTTCAGATTCCCATTCAATGACTGAACTATGACAATCAGAATTGCTTAATTATTACATGTGGCATATAAACATAAATGCAAGCTTACCTCGAAGCATTTGAATAATATGATCCTGAACTAGATCCGCTATCACTGGCCCAACATTCACGCTCCTCGTCAACAGGATTTTTGCCATTTTTAACATATCCATAACTTTGCTCGTCGTTTTGATACAAAGGGGCCTTCTCCTTAGGATCGTTCATTATTATATTCTTGAATGTTAATAGAAATAAAATTACTATGTAAATTAAGTAATGAGAATGGTAGTTATTGTCCTGATGAATATAGACATTGTAATTAACGAGTTTTATTATATTTGCCTGACTTTACCTCAGCATAGTTTTGTGCGTTGAAATGAGCGTCGCCATTGGCGTAAAACAGGGGCGGGGGGGGGGGGGGGGGGGGGGGGGGGGGGGGGGGGGGGGGGGGGGGGGGGGGGGGGGGGGGGGGGGGGGGGGGGGGGGGGGGGGGGGGGGGGGGGGTGTGATGGGCAAGGAGAATAATTAACGAACGCACGCTTTTGTATTTTTTTAGCGCGTTGGGCCTATATTTTTAACAGCTAAATAAATGTAAATTAATATAAGCAAATAATTAGAAATTCTACAATGAGATTTTATAATACAACAATCATGTATATATGTATATATAAATATATAAGCATAAATACTTGCAATATTAAATGAATAATTTTTTATTAGATAGTTGAACAATTATCTTTATTGCTTTTAAAATATTTCTTATGTCTTAAATAATTCTATTTATAAAAGTACAGCGATTTTATAAAAAATATGAATGTAAAAATTTATTTGCATTTAAATAATACATTAATAAAATTGTTCGTGGTCACTACCTTATAATACAGATTACCCGTCGTAATTACAAGTCTTCGTTCTCAGCAAAAAATATATTACAACTCACAGAGTACAGATACAGAATAAAAAAAAATAAAAAAAGTCACTTAACGTATAAAACAAACTGTATTAAAAATATAATTTGTAAAATTAGTCCTATCTAATACACTGTTTTAAGCGCGATGCAACAGATTTAACTTCGGTTGTTTCCTTTTTTTTGTGAGGATCTGGTTGGAAGCATTTCCATAGTCTCAATGTCTCATCTGCTCCAGCACTAAGTACCGTGGTCCCATCCGGTGACATGGCAAGATGCAATACTCGACTCGTATGTCCTGTCAATTCAGCTACTTTATTCATAGCTGGATATTTCCAAATTGTAAGTTGATTCTGAGCATATCCGTGTCCTGATACTATTTCTTTGTAAGTGGTTGACCAGAGTAAGGAACAAACTTGAGATTTGGTATCAATTGTATTTAGACATGCACCTTGAAAGGAAGGACGGAAATTCCCGATGAAATTTTACGCATATTCTACTACGTGCCTATCGATTCGATTCGTTCATAGTTGAAAATTTATATTACCTGTATTACAATTCCAAAACCTTATAGTTCTGTCCGCTGTACCTCCACCGCTTGCCAAAATATGATTTTGCCATGGGCACCAAGCGAGAGCTTTAACAGCAGCTTGATGCTGATTAAGAGAATATATTGGTTGGGCGTGAGAATAATTTTGACCAGCCATACAAGGCCAAATTTGTAGCATATTATCATTTCCTCCGCTTGCTAAATACTTTCCATCAATCGACCATTTTAAGCCACAAACTTCTTGAGCATGTGCATTTATTGTAGAAACAAGATGTTCTCGTTGCCTTACGTCATGGTGTACAATTTGACCTGCCCTGTTAAAAAGAAAGAAGAGAAAAAAAAAAAAAAAAAAATAATGTAGCATTAATTACTGTAATAAATCGTTGCTTCTAAAATCAAAAAATCAATTCTCATCGGAACCTGCAACCACTTGTCAATATATGTGAATTCCATGAAAGAGAACCAACTCTTGCCGAATGTCCACCCATCACTCGAACTCTTTTCATTTGACTACAGTCCCATAATTCAGTATTTCCTACTGTGGTTCCTACAGCTAAATAAGGTCCTTCTTGGATCCAAGCGACCGAGCACACATAGTCATTACCTTCTAATTCAAAAAGTTGCTCTATCGTTCCACTTCCGGCATTCCATAAATAAACATTAGATCCTAAAGCTACCGCAAGAATATTACTCGCTGACCAGTCAACTAAATTCAAATCTATAAATTGAGAATTATACGAAATAAATTAATGATCACGTTGCATTTTAATTAATATATGATATATAATAATAATAATAGGGCTTACAATAATCATCGACAATTTCAGGTGCATCTAATATACGATCAGGCGCTTGTGGTATATATCTTGTCGAAGACTTGACGCTGGCTGGGGTTTTAGTTTGGCTGTACACTACCCTTAAAGGATTTTGATATCCTTCTGGTGGGGCTGGTGCTTTATTTTGATAAGATAATACTCTCATATTATTAACATCTCCACCGTGCAAATTTTCTCCAATTAATCGCTGCATTTCACGTTTGGAAGGACTAGAACATTCTGTTTTATTCCCTTCTTGCTCTGTATTTTGTTGCTGCAGCTGTATTAAATTCATTACAAATTAACTTTTGCAAATAAATAATGTAAATTATATTCTAAATTATAAAGGAATAAAAAAAAAATTACCTTATAATATCCTAATTCAAAATTAGTGGTGGATCTTGCAGGAATAAATCTGTCTCCTCCGCATGGAGTTTTTGCTGGTGTTGTTGATCGGCCTAATAAAATATGTTATTATTATGATTACCAACGGGAATTAAATGTAATAAGATAAATCTATCGAAATATTTACTTGGTGATTTTTTGCTACCCTTTAACGGCGTCTTTTTTGAATTGCGAATTTCTACTCCTTTTTTAGGAGTTTTACCTATACTCGTATTACTGTTACTTGTTATTGAAGTACTCATAGCTTTTCGTGAAGTGTTCAAACCAAGATTAGAACTAAAACGTTATACGAACAAATTCAGTAATTACTTTGTATTAAATAAATAAATAAATAAATAAACGCAAACGTACACGCACACACACACACACACACACACATATATATATATATATATATATATATTTCTCACACGTAGATAAATATATATAATATGTATAATATACGGTATATTAGTATAATAGTACCTTGAAGAATTCGAGGACTCTAAGCATTTTTTTTGCCATCTAGGCACAGGCCCTTTAATTGCCTCATCCATTCTTGTTAAATTATTTAACTCCTTCATATATTTTAAATGAGACATGCTAAAAAGCAAATTTTGCGTAACGTAGGAATAATTTAAGAGAATCGAGTTTTTTAAAGGAAAATATTTATGGCGCCAGGGCTTGCGCACATTCGTCACGTTCTCTTATTTTCCTTCTCAATCAACTAAATAATCAATCAACATAAAAAATGTATTTGTCTGCAATTAAATAAAACGACAAAGTAACAGGCTATTACTTACATGCTTGTATGTATAATTTACTTACATAGTTTTTGGAGTTTCTTAAATAACGTTTGCCACGACAGTTTAGCGTTATTAAAGGGACACTGATAGCCGACAAGCAACCGTTAAAATTTGAATATACACGAGAACTCAGAGCCGTGGTTATAAAAAGTACTTTATGAGTACCAACTCGCACGTAAAATAAGCAAATAAAATGGCGTCCTCTCCTTGCTTTATGAATATAATTATAAAAAATGTAATCAATGCATTTGCGCAAACAGCTCGTTACATGAATATTAACTTCTTTATTATATATATATATATATATATATATATAATTAATTATTTAACGATAGTGCAGTAGGTATCTTTGAAAATCGTATTTGTACATTTTCATATATTCAAAGTTGCACTACAAGTATACCATTGTTTTGTAATGAATTTTAACGTTAAAAACTTATTATATTTTATTATTAATATGTCATTGAAGCTTCAGCGACAATTTATTATCTCATATATTAGCTCACTCCAAAGTATTATATATTATCTTAAATTTATCATGAAATAATTTAATTGCATTACAATTACTATTATTATATACGCGTTGGATTCTTTTTTCATCATTTCTTTCATAGTATACAATTGATATTAATACTATTAACGATATAATGATAATTAAAATATACGATAATAGAATTTAATCTATTCGTATCGTATATTAAGTTAGATTACTTTAGAATACGTTTTTCATTGGTTCATTATAATTTTATAATAAATCTTTTTCCCCGAATCGAATGAAAAATCACATAAAAAAAATGATCTTATTTATTCGCATTCACGAATAATAAAATTTAGTCGAGCCGAATTTAAAAAGCATATCTTCCAATACTTAAATTTTTTTTTTGAAAGAAATTGACCAAGTATATAAATAATTCAAATTACATAATATATAAACGTATAGAGTGTAAGGAAGGCAAATTGAAAGTGCCACCTTTGCTAAGACAATTATACGTAATAATTAAATTTATAATTTAAATCAATTTTATATTTTATGTAAATTTTATGACTGCATAAATAATATAACATTAATCAAATCAATTCATCAGCGATGAATTATTCTTAAATGCATAAATAAATTTAGCACCATTGACAATGCACCGACCGATAAAAAATAAATCTTTTTTTCCGATATTTCACATATGCACATAATATAATGTCCAGGATAGAATAGAAAATTGTTAAATATTAATTGGAAACGGCAAGTCGTTCCTACGATCAATTTTAATTTACATGCATGAATATTCATATTTATGGTGCTGGACAGTCATTATACTTTATAAAGACATTTTTGAATTCGTTAACAATATATGTATAAAACCTTCTTCGAGCGGCGAAACTATTCGACTATTCTACTTAATTAAATAATGAATTTATGAAACGCTTCGTTTAACAATAATACATCCGCTATATGTCAATTTTTTTTTTTTTTTTTTTTTTTTAAACATAAAGGAATTTAAATTAAACTTAAATGGGCACATGATTTTAAAATTAGATATATTGCTATTTATCAATAGCGATGATAAAAATGTTTAATCTATTATATTATTATGTATTCATATCAAAATTCAATCTTTGCTGAACAATTATTAAGAAACGTTCGAATATTTATAAAAGCAAAATAAAATATTAATTATGAACAATAATAACACTTATAGCAAAATATCGTTTAAACATTTTTTTTTTTTTTTTTAAGCACACGATAAGTTGGAATAAGCTTAAGTAGCAAAATAATAAGATAATTAACAAAGGATAATAAGTGATTTAGTAGGTAACCAAAACAACCGCGCACAGATACGAAATTCGAATCAAATTTTTAATTTAAAATAGAATTATAAATTATTCACCACTTAGGCTGAAAACATTTCACTGATTTTTGTTTCAATCTATGAAAGAACAATTTAACGAGATCTATTTTCTATTCCTCCAACTATTTTGATATATTGAAAAGAAAAAATGTAAGAAATAGTCGACAAAATATAGACTATTTTGTTGACGATTATGGAGTTTGGATGCAGTCGAATTACCAAAATTTTTTTGCAATGAATCTTTTATCGCCTCGTATTTTATTGACTTACCTTAAACTTTTCTTCACTGTATAATAATTTAGAGCTATTACAACGTGGGCGATAAAAATATTAGAACTAAATCATAAAATAAATTATCCCATAGTCTATTAATACGAAATATGTATAATTTTTTGTTTTATATGTTTTTTCGTCATTGAAATTTATGTAACTAAGAACTAATTGTGTTGATAGATTTAATAGTGTAATATCAATAATATATATACAGTTTAATTGTAGAGAGAGAGAGAAAATCATTTAGCCCAACTTTATTAACTTTCTGATCTACGGATACGTATGCGTTAAATCTGACATTTAAATGTTTTATAATAACGAAATATTAAAATAGACACGTTTTACGTATACAAAACTCATTTTCGTATAATTTGAATTTATTATATACACCATATGTCAATTTACCCTAACTAAAGTGTACCATATTCATGTGATAAACAATACTGAAATTACTAATAGTAAATTAAAACAAAAATAAGAATAATTTTCTGAATATTATAACGTTTTTCAAAATAAGTTTTTACAGGTCAATTATAAACGAATTGTTAGAATTCAACGATAATTCTGTATTATAGTAGTTTTCACTCATTTTTTAACGATGAATTACAAAAACAATTGCATTCGGATCTTATATTAATTTGAATTAAAATATTGTCTAATTTCGAGCAAATTTCTTTCAAATAGCAATCTAGCAATTCGAAAAAATACTTGTATATCATAGAATAAATAATGTTTGTTAAAAAGTTAAAGAAACATATAGAGTAATTTTGTTTTTATATTTGATTAAGAAGTAAAAAAACTCGAGAATAATTAAATAAAAATTTACTCCATATAAAATAATTTACGTAACAGTGTTAAATCATCAAAATCTACTACCAAGGATTATCTTCAGTTCTTTAATTTCCTAAAGTACATAAAGCAGAATACTATTTAAAAAGTGAACTACAAATTATATAATGTAGACATGTAATTAATGAAAAAAGCTGTTTGTTATAAAGTAAGCACTTACATATGAATAATTTTTAAATGTAATACATATATGTATATACATATACACACATACCACACGCGCGCACGCACGCACATACTTCTATAAATATGCATATAATATATATATATATATATATATATATATATATATATGTACATACACATAATAAAACCATATATGCATATATTATGCACATATTATCTCGCGCATCCATGCATATATGTATATATTCTTAATGTTTAATAAGGAAACTAATAGTTTGAATAGGGTTAAAAAAAGCATATCGCATGTACTTTTAAAACTTAAAAACATATTTTACCCTAATAATTACATGAACTATTATTTACTTACAATGTGTTGTTGATTAATTATATTTAAAATTTTTTTAAATAGTTGTAATAATATTAATGTTTTAATTGAAATACAAAACATAAATCAGACCAATGAAATTATTTTCATATTAAATCTGTTTTATCCAGGTTTTTTCAGACTTAACTTTTCATGATTTTTTGTATTATCTATTATCTTAATGAACTATTCAGAAACAAAAATAAAATATATTATAAATTTAATATTTACCTTGGTTGCATTATTAGTAGCATCTTATAATTTTCGGTGTAATATCGTTCATTGTATTACAGATGCTAATTCTTACTCCCACAATGATTATCATTGATGTCAAATCTTTGTATATTTTGTTATTCATTTTTTTTTTAATTGTTTTAATTATTGGCTATTCATCAAACTCGTATAGACTTTCAATGATATTTATTGTGCTTATTCTGTTTAAAATAGATATATACACACGCACGCGAACACACACTCACACATATGTGTGCATATATATATATATATATATATATATATATATATATATATATATACATACATATATATATACACATATGCATACACATTTGCGCACGTGCCCATGCAAGTACATATACATATATATATATATATATATATATATATATATATTGCATATAACACGTGCATATGCATATGCATATACATACATATACTTGATGCATACAAAATCTTTATACCAATACTAAATCCCCATCATTGTATTGTACAGAATGTTCTCTAATAAGAGAAACAAGTTTTTTTCCATTATCTTTGCAACCTTGAAAAATAATGAATTGTTAAACTCTATTTTATGTACATTTGTATGGAATCTTTATTCAAACTTGGTCATTTAAAATCAACTATTAAAATGTACTACTCAGTTGTTATTCTTTTATCAATGCACTGTAAATTTTCATCACTATACAGGAATCTGAATAAACGAATATATGAAAAAGTCAAAAATAACTTGAAAATCTTCGTCATTAAATTTTCTTATACTTTTACATCAATTTCATGAAATATGAGTTTTACCAAGACTTTTGTCAATCTAAAATTGATTTTGTATTAATTAAAAAAAATTCTGACATATTTATATACTTACTAAGCAATACCATTTAGAGAACTGAATTTATAAAATAATAATTATTATATTGCTAGGAAAAAAATGTAGCTGTTATGCAAGTGATATTAATAAGTTATTAATCATCTGATAAGACAGAGTTCCAAAAAATTGTTTTTTCATTTCAACGTAATTTGACATTTATAACTTTTATAAATTGATTAAACACGAAATGATTACCTTATTGTTTATTAACGTTTTGACGGTTGCCTCTTATTACATGTAAATGCTCAGTGCTCATATTGTAATTCTCATGTATTGTGATCTAATTTTGAGACACAAGGTTAAGATTGTTAGAAAATAGAAGAAAATTTTCATCCGGAAATCCGGAAGTACGGATTTTTTTAATGTCTTATGAAGCCCGAGTAGCTTAAGCATAAATGTAATTGTATATATATATATATATTTATGTCAAGTTTTCAACTTCAGGACATTAAAAACGACATGTGTCTCTTATTACAATTTGCTCGTTTTGAGCATCCAGACGTATATAATCTTGTCTGCACTGAACGCTACACAAAACTGTTTGATCCTTTTGCCTGCTTAATGACAATTAAGCAAATGCACAGTCGTTGTCGTTATCAGGCAGCGCATCAGCAGAAGATTAAATTACAAATAACGCGCTTTGTAAAGTCATATAAAGTAATTAGTTCACGAAAAATTATCGTTCGTCGTCTCTGCTTTCACTTTTTTTTGAGGTGAATTGACTTGTGACCGAATGTCAGCCACAGGCCTCTTTACTTGCATATTATTCTTAACAGCTGTTGTAGGATCTGAAAGACGAAGCGTCGAATTAATTACATTAAACAATAAGGCGAAATTACTTTAATGTACTATATGTGAAATCTCATTGAACATTTGTGGATACCTTGCAACCACCTCACTTGAGTAGCTGGTCCATAACCTTTGTCATTTCGTGCTGCTATTCTAAAGATAATGGCTGGTTTAGTTGTAGTATCTACGTGAGCTGCGCTTAAAGATTTATTAGGCACAGAACACGCATTGGTAGGACCACAGTAAACTCTAATAAACGAGGGTTGAGTCGGTGTTGTCGATGTTACTTCTCCAGTGTTCTCTGACATGGCACTTGCACTTCGTACAACCAAGTAGACCGAATATTCTAAAATAGGTCCTGAATTGCTAGATGGTGGCTCCCAAGAGAGTTGAGCACCATCGGCAGATTTTAAAATTTTAATAGCACTAGGAGCACCAGGGAATCCAGGAAGACATGTTTTAAAAGCTGATACCTGTAGAGTATATAAATAAATAGATAAATTTATATAATAAACTACAAAGATGATTCTATATATGTATATCAATGAAAAGTAAATTATGTGCTAAGATACTTATAAAAAATAAGAAACTCAAGATGAATGAAAAAATTTTTAAATATTACTTTTTTTCTTTCTTTTTTTTCTTTCAAATAAATTGGATAAAAATGTTGGCTTAAATAAAATGAAAAGTATATCCAATGTACAATTGGACAATTCAATAATTATATATTTGTTTATTTATATATAAAAAAAAAATATATATATATATATATATACATATAAACTTACTTCGCTCCAAGGACTTTGGCCACAACTATTAACAGCAGCTACTCGAAATTTGTAAGCAGTTCCAGGCTCTAAAGCTATTTTTGTTCTGCCCTTAAATAAATCTGTGGCTAATGCTTGGGTAATATCTAATGGCTCGTCTCCAGGAAGATAATAATGTTGAACGGTAAAGTTGGTGCCTTTTATGATTCCAACATCATACCAATCCACTACCTTTTTCTCCTCTTCTTTGATTGGCTCCTCATTCTATAATGGATGCAAAAATATTTTATTACGCATAATCAAAGGAAAATGTAAATAAAAGGCAGAGCAGAGGGCAGCTTACATTATTAGTATTATTAGTTTGTTGTTCCGTTTTCAATTTAACGGCCGACTGCGTAGACTCCGTAGATCCTAATGCAGCTGTTGCTAAAGTCGTTAGAGCCATGGAATCACCACCCGTTGAATCATCTACCTTTTCTTGCTTTATTTTATCGATTGTACTGCCAACGTTGGAAGCGACCTGAGCTTTGCTTTCTTGCTCCACTTTAATTACAGGCTTCTCAACTTTTGCTTGACTCTTAATCGCCACATTGCTATTTAACAATGCAGAAGCTGAGACAGCTGGAGATTTTTTGTTCTCTTCCATGGGCTCGTCATTAGGTAAGGCTTCCTTTTTTATTGATGAAGCCTCGGAGACGGCAGACGATGTCTCTTTCCTAACATTAATAGCATCCGATTTTGTTGTTGGCGTTGAAATTGTAGTACTCGGTGTCGACGCCGATTTTGCTGTAGATGATGTCGTGGTCGTTGCCGATATTGATATTGGGGCAGCCTTCGAGATCGCTGCCGAATTTGGGACTGGTGTTAGCGCCGCCGCGGTTGTTGATTCTGACGTTGGTTTTGACGCTGATGCCACTTCCGATTCGACGCTCATAGGCTCACTCTCATCTTTATTTCTGCTATCGTTCGTAGCATCCTTAATATTGCTTAATTCTTTCGTATTATGAGGTAACTGAGTTTCATTATCGGCTGAATTTGATTCCTTAAACGTCTTTTCGCTCGACTGCTTGTTAAGTTCATTGGTATCCACGGTAGCATCATCGAGTAATATTTTATCAGTTTCCATTGGGATCGGATCAACTATCATTTTAGTATTTTCAGTTTGATCGGCGTCCAGTTCTTCCGTAGAATCAATTTTTTGATTATCTTGTTTATTTTTCTCGATAACGACGCCTCCTACCTCCGTCTTCTGCTGCTCGTCAGTATCCGCAGTTGTTGGACTTTTTTCTGCCGCTGAACTTTCAGCCACAGCCTCAGTAGCGTCCGCAGTTTCATTCTTACTCGATTCCATATTATTTCCGGATTCAGACGGGTCATCGCCCTGCTGTTCCATTGAATCATTGCCTGACAAAATAGCTTCGACATTCATCGACTCGGAAGAATCGGTTCTTTCCAAAGGTGCAGACCCGCCGGTCGTTGGTTCATCATCGACATCTCCAGTAATGGCGGCCATCCCTTGATCAACATCTTGCTCCATCCGCTGTACATCAGATTCCGTCGAGACATCGCCAGCTTGATTGGTAGGCTCATCATCCTCCTCTTCTTCCTCCTCCTCTTCATCGCCCTCCTCTTCTTCCTCTTCCTCTTCCTCTTCCTCTTCCTCTTCCTCTTCATCCTCTAGTGTCAAACCAGTCTCGCTTTCGTCTTCCGAAAAAATCAAGTCTCCTGGACCATCCACCTGGGGAATAACGAGATTTCCTTCTCCGTCGACTTGCATAGGCTCGACGTAGGTTGTGGTGGCCGTAGCATTGGTAGCGTCCTGATTCCCGTTACAGCTCTCCTGGGATTTGGAGTCTTGACAATCACCGGCATGAAGAGCAGAATTATCACATGCCATCATGAATGATAGACCGGTCGATGACTCTTGCACGGGGTCTATGAGGCCGGCTTCAGCCGCCAAAGCAGCTAGGGCCGCGTCCGTAGTGGCCGGACCATCGGAGGTCGTAGCCAATGTCGCCGAGGGCTGCTTCTGAGGCGAGACGATCAACATTTTGCCAGTGTCAATGGCATCGGAGACGGTCGCCGAACTACTAACAATGGAACTACTCGTGGGCACAAGGGTGACGGTCTTGGTGCCGCCGCCTTGCATTTGCAAGGTGACCGGCTTACCGATTGCCTCCGAACCCTTCTGTATCTGCGGCATGGCCATCAACTGATTTTTATGGAGAATGGCTCCGGGTGCACCAGTCTTCGTAGCAATGGTAACCGTTTTGCCGCCCTGGCCGGGCATCGTTATCGTCAACGGTTTGCCGGCAGTGCCGCCGGCCATTGCGCTCGACGAAACTACGATCATCTTCACGCCCTGCTGATTGGTAACGTGGTTGGTTGCGGAAAGCGGCAGTACGTTGACAGGAGTCGTAGTAATGTTGGCGCCCTGTTGACCCGAGCCAGCTTGCGAGGTCGTTACGGCCTGGACGGCTCGCAAGCCCGAGCCTGTCGTCACGACGATTATCTGATTGGTTCTGCCTACCAAACCACCGTTGCCGCCCGGCTTTGTGATCATGATGGTCTGCTTGCCGGCGATGTTCTGTGCCTTGCTCATCGCTACCAGATTAGACGTTTTCATGGTCGTGAGTATCTTGGAGCCGGCGACGGTGTTAGGATTGACAAGTCGCAGGATCGTGGGCCCCTGGTTGAGGGGCTTAGCGCCGCCCGCGGGTAACGTCTTACCGGGGATGAGGCTCATCTTAGGCATCGCCATCATGCCCTGACCTGTCTTCACGAGGTGGACGATCTGCGCTTGGCCAGCGATGTTCTGCCCGGGTTTCTGGAGGATAATCTGCTTACCCTGCTGGGGCGAGGCGGCCCTCAAGACAGTCGCGCCCGGAGCTGCGAAACGTATCTGTTGGCCGGGCTGGACGTTCTTCATTCTGATGGGGGCAGCCGTTGTCGCGCCCTGTACCGGTATTATCGGAACGTTGTTCATGTTGATCTTGTGAGTCATGGCCGCAGCGGCGAGTGCCGCCATACCCGACATGGCCGCGGGCTGCTGCTGAGTGGAGCTCGTCGTCGTTGTAACGGATACAGAGGCGGAAGGCGACGAGGCCGCGGTCGTCGTGCTCGTCGTCGTCGTCGTCGTCGTGGACGCGGCGGCCAAAATTGTTCCCGCGGCCACGTTGGCAGCCAAGCCAGACTGTTGAATCCTAATGACATTGGCGGGCCGCGTACCTAGAGGACTGGCCACTATTTGCTTACTCGGATTGGCCGGCGAGCCTATTATTTTCTGATTAGAACTTTGTACACGTATTGGAGTTGGACTCGGTGTCAGCGACGGAGTAGGGGTAGGAGTCGGTGCTGGGATTGGAACGGGTGTCGGGGTTGGAGTTTGGCTTGGTGCGGGGGTAGAGGACGCTGCCATCGGCCGCGCAGGCGTCACTATTGAGGGCAACGATGCAGTAGCAGCGCTACTCGTGGGAGAGGCATGGGCCGCCCTGGAGACTATGCTCGGCAGGGCTGGTGAACTGGCAGCAGTCGTAGCCGGTGTTGCGGACGGTGTCGCCGCGGCGAAGCTGCTGCTGCTCGTCGGGGGCATGTCGAACTTCTGAATCTGCAGTACGTAGTATTGAGCCGAGGGGGTGGCGGTCCAACTGACTTCCAGTGATTGCGTCGAGGCTTTTATAAGCTGCACTCGAGATGGTGCTGGAGGCTTGCTCACTTCTAGATACCACAGATCCTTGCAACATACCTAGACATTCGACAGGACCGTGCGTAAGGTAAAGGAAGGTTTAGCTCGTAATCTAGGAGTTAATAGTGCATGAAGAACTCAACTGACCTGATTGTTCCATGCTTTACGATAACCGTCACGACCCGACCATACGTACAAGCGGCTGTGAACGCCGACCGCACAATGTCCGGCACGAGCTCGCGGTACATTTTCTTCCAACGAATCCACTGTTAGCTGTTCCCAAGTTAATGTTTCTGAAATCATTAAAGAATAAGGGTAAAATTATGCTTAATATCTTACATGCCACAATAATGGTGGAATGGTTAAATGTTAATATAAATTCATAGAGTACAGTGAAATTTGGGAGAAAGTTTTGTTACGCTGATTTAATTGAGAGGGGTACATTTAATATTCATGAATTATCATTATTGTTTCAGTAGTGATAATTAATACACTAACGTAAAGAGTAGATGTCATTGTAAGTGATGGGATTGGCAACTAATAAATTGTCTTTTAAATTTTGCAGAGCATTTGAATTGAGAATTTGGTTAAAATACAATTTAATATGAATAATTCATGTTTAAATTTGTGGTTTTGTCTTCTGGATTGTGAAAATAACATGTTCAAAAAAATTTATACAACATTATTTTAATCAATATAATATATTTGCAAATATGTATTTGCAGAAGACATTGCCTGATTTAATTTATTATTTAGAAATGTAAATTTCATGAGATTAAACCGCAATTTTTTAAAAAAGTATTGCCTATTAACAATCTTATGAATAATTGCATATTTATGAAATTTATATGTATTTTTTTCTTTTTCTGTTCTTTCTATCTTTCTTTTTTTTTTTTTTTGAATAACTTTATTGATCTTATGACATTGTATTTTAAAAATAGAATTATTGCCAAGAATTGTAATTGAAGTTATAGCAAAATCTAAAAAAAAAATTTGAATTTCATTTATATCGTAATCATAGATACCTTATAAATTCTGATTACAATGATTCTAATTAGCATATTTTTGCATAGCATAGAATACTATATAGTCTATAATTATATAATTGCATGGGATTTTAAAAATTTATATCAATTGTGCTAGGCAAAAATAAATTATCTGACATAATAAAAGAATAAGACATTATTGCTTTAAATTTAACAATTATAATAATAATACGAGTTATAACAATACAAAGCTGTATTGAAGTTTCTCAGCAAATTCAAATTCAATTGAAAAATAATGAATATGTATCTAGTTTCAAAAATGCTGGTAAAAATTAATACATGATTATTGTAATTAACTAGAGTACATATATTTATTTATGCTTATTAATTTATGTTTCTTTACAATTATCAATAAATTTAACAGGATATAGAGTATTTTATTATTATAAAGAAAATACATAGGGCCTGATTAATGGAATAAGATTGAGTTTTACTAAATGGAACATTGTAGTATGTTAAACAATAGGTAAGCATACATATATATATATATATTATATACACATGCATACAAGAGTTTGAAGTTTGAAGTTACTTTCTATCAATTCTCTTCTTTCATTAATGTAACGAAAGCTTCCGAATTATCATGACAATTTGATTAATAATATTTTCATTTACCAAATATCGAGAAAAGGGAATAGCGTAGTAGTTTCTTGTAAATAAATGGAATTGTATGGGCAGGGAAAAATAAAACGACTCTCACCTAAATTTAAACAAGCGAGTGTGCTGGTGCATTTCCATTCCTTTTCGTGCGTAGCCACTTTAACGTCATCTACCACAAGTGGCACCCATCCTCCAAAAACATACATCCTATGTCCAATAAGCGTAGCGGTATGTAAGGAACGTGGCAACGGTGTAGGGCCATGTACAACTGGCTTGTTCCAGGTCATAGTGTCAACGTCTAAGAACCATAAGTCTCCTAAACGACAACCACTCATTCCGCCATAAATGACCAGACACGACTTTCCGGTCGTTCGGTCTGTGTAGGCAACTCCGGTATGGGACTCCCTAGGTGGTGGTGCATGACCATGAGTTTGGGGAACCTCCCAAGCGGTCGCTCCATTGGGAAGAAGTTCCAGCGTGTAGAGGTCGTTCAAGTAACGTGGTATATTGTTTTTTGGATCATCACTATCGTTAGCCAATCCTCCAAAAAGGAAGACTTTATTTCCAATTAAGGTGAAACTATGCCCGAGTCTTGGGCAAGGAGGTGGGTCGTGTTTGGGGGGTCTAGGCTTGAGTCTTTTCCACTCCCACCTACTAGCTTGAAGTTCATAAAGTTCGTTGGAGTATTTTCCATACTCGACCATTCCACCGAAAACAAGAATTCGCGTTCCGTCGACTACGAAACCATAGGCAGCGCATCCTGGAGGAATGTCTCCCTTTGTCGATGGCACAAACCACTGGTTGGTTGCTGGAAAACATGAAAGTGATATTGCCAATGAAATTGTAATTGATGCCAAGAGAGACTATGCTGCAATTAACAAGGCAACAAGAGACTCGATAGGTTATTGTTCTAAAAACGGGCTAAGAAAGCAGGTCAAAGGGGCACACGAACGAAAAAATGCAATATAATAAAATTTAACAAAAAGAAAAAAAAAAATCTTTAAACGTCAACAATATCAATGAAAACAGCTGGTTATGTTTCCAGCACTGCAGCGATGGCAGCAGCGACGTCGGCGACGACGACAACGACGACGACGACGACGACTACGACGACGGTGATGGTCGGTCGGTTAACGAGGAACAAGAACCGAGGAATACAGTATTGAGACATCTATGCACTTCACATTCCAGGCTCGTCGTCGCATATTCTCAACACACGCACGCATGCGGGAACGTGTGGGCATGTCGATGGGAGCGCGAGGGTACAAGGGAGTGGTGGGGGCGGTGAGGTGAAGTGAGATGAGGGGGAAGGTGAGGTGGTGAGAGGGTGAGATGGCAGCAATGGCCGCTCCCGCGCAAAGAACGGAGAAAAAGGCAAAATTGCTTCGCCGTCGATGCAGTGGATGGAAGCGAGGGGCAATAGGGCTGGGTAATGGGAGTTTTTGAGACGTCGGGAAAAGCGAATGGTCGGCCGGTATGGAGCGAGCACATGTCGATAGGAGGGCCCGGATCGCGATGAGGCTGAGAGAAGGCCGGAAGGATAAATGGCGCCGATGGAATCCGGCCGGTGAGCGGCCCGTCGATGCGAGCCGCCATATTGGATGTATGTAGCGCACAACGGGAGAGATGGAGGCAACGGCGCGCATACAGGCGCAGCGGTGCATAGCACACGACACACAGTGGCGGCGCGCGGGAGATTCGCCGTTTTTCATGCTTTTTCCATGGCCTTGCTCGGGCCACTTACCCGTGTTGTAGACGTGCAGCTCATCAACGATGCCCTCGTTACCACCGCCGAAAACGACCATGAGGTCCTTGATCGCGACGGCTCGGTGTCCATGCCGGGGCCTCGGCTGAGGTCCGGTCGGATTTGTGATCCGCTTCCACTTTAATATGGGTGCCGCCATGATGATTGCCGATCACATCATTTTTCAAGCATACACATTAACGCCATGATCGTCCTGACTCTTTCCATATCCAAAAGGCGCGCTCGCCTCAGTACTCGCGGGCCCAGTCGATCGCGAATGACCTTCAGTAGCAGCGCTTCGGGCTTCTTTTCAAATAGCCCGCAAAACGAAATCGCCAAGGCCAATATCCTAGCCTCTCTTGCCCAATAACTCGCGCCAGTCGCCCGCCAGCGCCAGTTGATTTAGAAAAAAAAGTCGCGATGTCGGTCTAATGGCGCAGGGGAGGGGGAAAAGGTCGGAAGAAGAGGAACGGAGGGCGGCGGCGGCGGCGGCGGCGGCGGCGGCGACGACGACGACGACGACGTCGAAGTTGACGGCCCGGGTTACGGCTACGGCAACGACGACTACGACGATGATGACAAAGACGACAAAGACGACGACGACAACAACGACACGAGTAAAATTTACTCGCTTTCGATCGTCAGTGGCGACCACTCGTAAAAGTGTCTTTGTCGTGGCCGACGGCCCATACACACTTTCCTCGCCTCAACTGACGAAAAATCCACCAATCCACTAGAGTCCCGCGCACTCGTCGCGACAACACTTATTTGCACGTATTATAACCGTTGCTGGTGATACGTGCGCGAGCCGCAACGTCCGTTCCTAACCTTCATCCGCAGCCAACGAACGTACGTACGTTTGGTTTGGCTGGATAAGCGCTAGCGCTCCTCCTCGCGTGCTTCGAAGAATCGCGCGCGGCCCCGATCAATCGACACTGGCCACTCGACGTCTACGCCGATAACACGTCGTACTTGCCCGCCTTCGGCACCAAAATCCAATATATACGTCTTTATAGTTGACTTGACATTAGCGGGCCCCGATGCAAGACTGTCAAAACTTGCGGTCGCACCGTCGTTCACTACACGGAGGTTAAAGAGCTATCTCGCTCGCTCGCTAACTACTCGCGCGCGCACGCACGCACGCTCTCCCTCTCCCTCACGCCCCCACTTTACCGCCCTCGTACCGTTCGTCAATGTCTCTGTCTCTGTCTCTCTTTCTCTCACACGGTCTATTCGGCGTGTTAGCACTGCTGCCGCCACTGCTGCCGATGATCGCGGCGGTCCGTGCTCGCGTTGCGGAGGCAGCAGCGCCGCTGCTTATCGCCGATTTAGCGCCGTTGCACAATAGCGGGGAACGTGTGGAGACGACCTCGATATACGGGTGCACTATCGTCATCCCCTTAGTCCTGACCTCGGTGTAAGATCCACGCGTCCTCGCATCGCCTCGAGCAACGACGAGGTTAGACGCGAGATCGACGTGTGTAGAAACGCGAACGCGCGCACCGATAGCAAAGCCGCGCAACCGCGTAAGCTTAGCTCCCTTCTTCCCCCATTTGACGGACCCCCTCCTTGAGACGCGACTTTGGAAGTCTCGTCGAGGTCCTTATCCCAAACCGTCGTGGGGCGGCGCTAGCTCCTTTAGGAAGCACCAACTGCCTCAACGTATGCGACTCTGCTATCTTGACGACGACCTGCCGACGACACTTCTAAACTACTCGTTCTCTCTCACTCACACACACATACACGGTCTCTCTCTCTCTCTCTCTCTCTCTCTCCTTCTCACTGTTCCTCACTTTCAATCTATCTACCTATCTAACTATCCATCTATCTATCTAACTATCTAACTATCTATCTATCTGCCTATCTCTATCGCTCCTTCTATCTTACCCTATACGCGTTGAAACGTCATGCGACCGAGGGACTGAGGCTAGCCTCACCGAATCCAGCTCTTCC